CTCCGCTATTACCTCCTGGGGTGCCCTTTCACCCTCTGGTCGGACCATGCCCTGCTCCAGTGGCTCCACAGCATGAAGGATGCCAACGCGCGGATCACTCGCTGGTATCTGGCTTTGCAGCCGTTCAACTTCCATGTGATCCCAGCCTGAGTCGGGCGGTGGGGGTATGTGACCGCGGGGTGTGGTTAGGGTGCCAACTGCTGGACAACAGGGAGGAGTGGCTCAGCCGGTGATCAGACAGCTGTGCAGAATCAGGTAATCAGGCCATCAATAAGAGCACGCTGGTAACCTGGTTCTGTTCTCTTGCAGTAGGCTGGGTTCCTGAGACTGGAGCAGCCGGAGGACGTATGTGAACGTGTGTGTGGGTTGAGAGACCTGTAGTTATATGTGTGTGGTTGCCAGGCCAGGCGTCCTTGGAAATAAAGACTACTGAGCAAACGCCATTCTCTCCTCCCTTGTTTACCCGGAGTGGGCCGAGTATTCCATGAGTATCGTTAAACATGAATGAGATTCATTTGAATTAATTGCACCCACACAGCACTTGTTCCCCACTAAATGCAGCTCAGTCACTTTATAATGTCAATTGGTGATATACTGTTTCAACCGGAATGCATTCTTTGCTTTTTCAGAGGAGCGCCATATTCTTCATAGACAAAAGAGAATAGGTTGATGTGGTTACACTCACTTAACCATTAACAAAAATTGTCAGCTGTGTGTGTGTGTGTGTGTGTGTGTGTGTGTGTATGTGTGTGCGTGCGTGTGCTCAGAGCCCTTCAGAGCTCTGCTGATTGCTTGTGGCTAATTCTCCTCATCAACCTCAGCTGCATTTAAACCCAGCTTTTCTCTCCACTCAGTGCCAGATCGTTCCATCACTAGTAGTATCAACGCTCTACTTTCTGTATTGTTTGCTTTTGTCAGCTAGTTTGAACTCGGTTAGGCACAGTTTCTGCCTCTGTATTTTAAGATCTTCACCGGGTTCATCGTATGAAAATGTGGCTGCGTGAATCAGACAGACAATGTTGTAAGAGTCATAGCTTCACTATAGTTCAAGATGAAAACACTCCATTGGGTCCCATTCACATTATGTTTCCCATAGTGCAGCATGCATTGTGGATCTGTACAGAACTGGGGACGTAGAAAAAGTCTCAAAACTCCACATGCACTCATAACCCAATTTGTGCACAAATTATATGCAAATAAAAACAAAACAATGGATGTAAAATATTCCTAGATATATTCGAGTAGACCATTGAGAACATTGAGTGTAATTTCTCTCCATGCTGTCACTGCTGCACCAGTACCTGGCTGATGGAAGCTTGGGGAGAGCTCTCTGGCCACAGCTCTGGCAATGTCTGAATCCTGACTGGCTGATTGTGCAACCTGGTCTGCAGCCTCTGCTTTGGCACGAGCATGGGACGTCCTGCAGAAATACAGAAATATACAAACTCGGAAAGCAGCAAGTAACATCTTTACACCATAACACCACTGATTTTGGATTTATTAAAATGTACTGAGATTATCAATCTCACTACATTGCTGCAGTGTGTACTATAGAGCATTGTAAAAGCTGATCATTACATGTGAATGCTGTGTACAACAGGCTGCAACCAGAACTTCTATTCATTTTCAACAGCACAAACAATTCCTGTCACTTTAAAAAATAAAACAAAAACACATAACCATTACGACAGAGGGTGGTTTACTTTCTTATTTTGGAATAGATATGTATTGAGGAACATATCAGAATGTATTTATTCACATTTGATACATGGTGCACTGAAATCCACAGGTGCCATGACCTGCACCACTCAGCCCTTACTTGACTGAACCCAGCATTTCTGTTATCTGACCCAGGGCTATCAGTTTTATTTGATCCATACTAACTGACTGTTACCTTACCACGATTATGCAAGCCAGTCGCCACACTGTCTCTTTCCTCTAGGCAGAACATTGTAACTTGAACACAAGGCATCACAGGCTTAATTTCCAGTTCTGCATTTTCTACTTGAATTTTTACATGGACATCTTAGTAAACAGTGTCCTCTGACTGTGTAGCTTGGGGCTGAATTAGAGTTCATACACTCATATCAGTCAGGTTTCATACACAGCAGTGACGTGCACTACAGACTCTTTCTTTGGGTTTCATCTCTGTTTACAGGTGGAAGTTATTGGGGTGCAGTCTGATGGGAGGACCTCCAACAATAAACCCCTGAATTCCTCACTCAACTCCACTGTGTTACTCTCAAAATACACTGAATCACTGAGCTCAGATAATAATACTGTATCGCTCATTTTTCTCTCTTATTCCAAAAGAGCGACAATGTACTCACCACAAGTATTTCACTTTTATCTAGCACCCACACTCAACTTCACCATCTGAAATGACCACAATCTCCTACAGCTGATCATGTGAGCTGCTAATTAAGATTAATGTTAATTAAGTGTGATGCCTGTGTTAAGTTGAAGTGCCCTCTGCAGTCAAAAGCTTTACTCCATTACAAGTGGCATCTATTGCTCCTTTCTCCGTCCTGGGAGAGGCATCCCTCACATGTGGCTCTCTCTGAAGTTTTTATGTTCTTTTCCCCCTGTTAAAAGGGTTGGTTTTTTTTGGTAGTTCTCCTTACTCTTGTTGAGGGTCAAGGGCAGAGGATGTCACACCTTGTTAAAGCCCTATGAGACAAACTGTAAATATGGGCTATACAAGTAAAATTTGATTGATGATTTGATTGACTCCAACAATGACTGAATGAAGAGCCTCCATTCTGCCACATTCTACCACGACTGTGCCTGTTCTTCCAGTCACTGCAGTAGAACGACAAGTCTCTCTTTCAGATCACGTCACATCCACTTCATCAGACAAATGCTCTCAGTTACAACAATAATTTAAATAAATACTTGGATCAAGTAGATTATGAAAAATAATATGTGTCAGCAAACTTAATCAACATTAGGTCAGTATAAATAAGTTCTACACTGGCAGATACTACGATATTCCTAGCTGTAACATTTCTATTTTCTCCGTGATCAAACCGAGCAAAACAGACTGTTTACATGCACAGTTTTTTCTAGGGCTGCTCCCTAAGCGCAGATGTCCACTGTTCTGTGCACAAAGGAGCAAGAGTGCACCTCCCCTTAACAGATGCATTGAGTCAACAAATAGCATGACAAGCTACTAACAGTCTCAAAATGACCAAACTGTGAATCTAAGGTGGTAAGAAGGTGGAGAAAATTAGTGGCAGGGCAGCTCGACTTATGTCTGTTGGCCGTTTGGCCGTCATACTCCAATGCAAAAAGCTTCTGAACCAGAAGACATAACAACATCCTTGAGTGCCTCCAGTGCGACTGACAGTGCCGCCAACAGCCTGGCAGGAGAGAAGTTAAGTTTATAACTGAGCTTTGACCAGGAGGCTCACGTTGAAGCCTTCTGACTGTGTAAATGTCATGTTTACATATCAGTCATACATGAACTAGAATGGCATACCCCAATATGTGTATCAGTCCTCTAAATATGGCCGATTACATTTCTGAAAGAGAGGAATAATTCATTTGGAAAGCAGAGAAATTGTCAAAAAATGCCCTATTTCCCAATGTTATACAAAGTGGAAAGAAATTCCTGGAGCGGATCTGCACCAAAATTAAATGGGTTATACCTTGGCCTATACCCCACCCTCCCACAGAGTTTCCAAAAATATGCTCTGTATTTTTTCCATAATCCTGCTAACAGTCAGAAAAATTACAATGAAAACATAACCTCCTTGGTCGAAATGACAAATGTGGATTACGTGCATTAAACGTGGGTGTTGTGGAACAAAACAAGTCGATAAGGCATTTTATCAAATAGCATTTCACTCCAGACTTCCCACTCACAGTTTAGAAGGCAAAAATCTGCTCCTTTCAAAATGTCTACAACTGATTACACTCATTTAATATTTTAAGATAAAGTATTTATAGAAGAATTTACACATAACCAACCCAGAGCCATAACAAAACAAAACTCCAAAGCGCCATTTCAAAGGTTCAGACTGTTCTCCACACTGATCAATGAGACTCAGAATACCACACTACTGACTGACTGCCTGACTCTGTTTGTGTAGCTGGGGCAGTGTGAGACAGTATTTGTGTCAGCTGTTGATATGCTTCCTCTTCCCTGGCCTTTTTTAGACAGGCACTTACTTCTGATGCACTCACCACACACACACAAGACTGTGCCTACTTGCTTCCCTCTCTCTCTTGCTTTCTGTATTTCTCTGTCTCTCTTTTTCTCTCACTCTTCCCATCTCTCTGTTTCCTCACATTGTTCCCAGTTTCTCTCTACTTTGCCCAGATGATGGGAGAAGTGATGCAAGCTAAAAGCTCTGAGCAATGTTCATCATCTTCACTACAACCAGCAAAGACTGCATCTCCATTTTCTAAATTCTACCCATTGCTCTCACTACTCTGGACTGTCTGAGCATGTGCTAATGTCTGTCTCAATCCAAGCACGCATATCTCAAGCACATAGAGATATGCACTCATGTGTCCAGTACTCATGCATAGTGTGAAGGGTTGCTCGGTAACATAATAATAAGAGAAACAATTGTTACATGTTCATAAATGACAATCTGCATACATTGACCAAACATTGTCGGACCTAGAGATGTTTCTCCTACCCATCTGAACAACAGGGAAGACTAATGGAGACTGGGGGTGTTTTTAAACCCATGGTTTGTTTGAGCTGTTCTGACTCAGTTGATCAGTTTTCTCTTAAAAAATACAAGCAAACCATAATGCATCAAGACAAACCATGTGAGACCATGAGATGTGTCTATGGGCGGGAGCGACACAGAAAATACAGGGAAAGATACATAATTCTGACAGGAGCTTTTAAGCTCAAAACTGAAACTTGAAGTCCACAATAATACTCACTCATGGCACAGGAGAACTTTGTATACACTAATGTTGGATCAATGTTGTAAGAATCCATTGTGTAAACTGTGGATGAATGTTTACATTTGACAATATAGGACATTTCTCCCAATATTCTCACCCCTTATTTTCAGCTCTCTACACCACCTCTAATATAAAGGCAGAAATCTCAGAGCTCAATGTAAAAGAAAAAATGGGAAAAATTTGATTTAGTTGTGGTTTTCTAAGATTATCTTACAAAGGAAATGTTACCTGGAGATGGCAATCTCTACTTTGGTCCTGGCGATGGCTGCTGCTCTCACTGCTCCTTCAATGGCTCGATCCACCTTCTGTTTGGTCTTGGTGTTCCTCAGTGGGATCAGCTGCTTCCTTATGCCCCTGGCCAGCACGTTGTTCTTATACTTCCCTTCTTCCTTGGAGCCGTTAGGGAAGGTGGTGCAGCCATAGCCATGGCGCTTATTGTTCAACCACTCACCTTCATACTTCATGCCGTTGGAGCGCTCAGAGACACCAAAACCACTGCGCTTGTCATTCTTCCACTCGCCCATGTAGGACTCTGTGGTGGTGGCATCGACATTGTCCTCCTGAGTCAGGTAATCATCGCTTGGCTCTCCATCTCCAAAGCTAATAGTGGAGTTGGCGTCACTTGAACTGATGCGGCTCATGGTGGTGTCACTGTGTGCTGAGCTACGCTTACTGGAAATCGACGAGCGCGAGTCTGATTTTCGAAGTCGCTGAAGGCTGCCGAAGAGGGAGCCACGTCGGAAAAGACTCTTCTTCTTCTCTGAACCTTCACTATCTGAGTGGAAGTTAAGAACAAAACCACCACGTGTGCCAGCAGGGCTGTCAGAAAGGCTGTCACGCAATACTGTGCCATTACTCTGCTCACTGCGGAGAGAAGCCAGCGAGGTTCTTAGAGGCGAGCGGATGACGGAGGCCATACCATATGGGACACTTTGACGTACACCATAGCCATGACGCATTCCACCAGTCCACTGACCCTGATAAGTACCTACAAAGAAAGAATGTGGAAGAGAAAAAGAAATAACAGAAATTAGATAGAAGCAGTAAATGAAAATTATAGTTATTGAGAGAGGCCATTGAATATAAGCAAACATGGAATACAAGAACTCATGTTTTCTGCTGATGGTTGAATAATGACAGTTTGATAGTTTCTTCATAATATTGTAAGGTCTTGACCTAAATATGTAAAGTGCCTTGAGATAATGTATGTTATGTTTTGAATTTTGTGCAACACAAACAATTGTTATTGAATTGGATAGAAATACAACCACTATTTTCAGAAAATGGCACCCCACTGCCCTACTTGGTGACTTCAACATCCAGACAGAGAGGTCATCTGACTTATTACTTTTACTTTCTTCCTTTGCTCTCTCACTAAGTCCTTCCCCTCTTATTCACTAAGCCAGTAGGGGTGGGAGAAATTTCCGATTCTTAGATGCATCGCGATTCGGACGTGGACGTTTCTGAATCGATTCACAAATGTCCAAATTTCGATTATTTAAATAAAGTAATACAGACGGTTCTAAAATAGGGAACTAAGAAGCGCGGTACGCGTCATCTCCGGGACACTATGGTGAGCGCACCTGAAACGGACACGCCGCACAGAGGAAAACAAACATAATGGCTGCAGCTACTCATCTCGCCGTGAGATACAAACAGCTCCTTTTAATTTAAAAGCAGACGTGTGGAAACACATTGGCTTCTACAACATCGACGGCGGAAGCGAACTGGACAAGAGCCACGTTATACGTAAGCTGTGTTGCGCTAAAATAAAATACTTTGGCAACACAACAAACATGAGAAGCCATGTAACTCGATTCCACCCGACGGAGGAGACGGCAGGCTTTTGTCGCTGCGACTAGTGGTGTTACCGACCAAAGAACAATCGAGGAAGCAATTAGAAAGCTGCCACCCTCATCGGAAAAGGTGAAGCGAATTACGAAGTCCATCGCGGCATTTATTGCCAAAGATTTGCGTCCGTATTCCGTCGTGGAAAATCAGGGATTTCGAGCACTTCTGCATACGTTGGAGCCCAAATACACCATCCCATCCTGACGCTATTTCACCGACACGTCAATCCCGACACTCTACAACCGTATTGCACAAACTTTGTTTACATTTTTTCTTAAATGTGTAGCAGGACACATTTTAATTGTTGTGATTCAAGATACCTGTTACCTTAGGTTCTTTACAACGAAGTTGTAACTTTCCAGTTTGCACGCATTTCTATTAGTTTAATAAAACATACACAAACTTATTTCTTATTACAAATGCACTGTTTTTAAAAATTGCAAGTGATGAATGTGTAAGCAGTGAAACAAGAAGAAATGTTGTGAAAAAGTGCACCAATATACATAAATTGAAGATGCATCAATAATTGTTTTATAATCGAATCGTTGACCTCTGAATCGTTATCGAATCGAATCATGAGGATGAAGATTCCCACCCCTAAAAGCCAGTTACCATCTTGACCTTATTTTCACTAGAAACTGCTCTAACTCCAACCTCACTGTAACCCCACTTCAACAGACTCTGTACCTGTACATTGCAACATCCACTCCCCTCCCCCTCCTCTCTGGCCTCATCTGTTTTATCAGCCCTCCCCCCACATCTGACTCATGCATCCTAACTCTGTCACAGACAGTCTCCTCTCTACTCTGTCCACCTCTCTTGATTGTCTCTGTCCTCTTACTTCACTACAGGTCCGTAAGTCCTCCCCAGCTCCATGGTTGTCTGACTCTGTGCCTGCCACTATGTGAGCTTCAGAAAGGAAATGATGAAAATCTAAACACCCTGATGACCTGTTCACTGATCAATATCTTCTGTCCTCCTTCTCTGTCTCTATTTCTGCAGCCAAAAGCCCTTTTTACTAGGGGTGGGCATTCGATTAAATTTTCTTAATCGATCGTCGGTAGAATTAACGATCAATTATCGATTAATCATAAAAAAATTATTAATTAAAATACATTATTTAACTTTCAATATATTAAAAATGCTATAAAAATATAAAATACAGTGTGTTTTTCCGGGATGAGATCTTTATTTCGAGAAGAACAATGAAGAACAAAGATGTGCACTGCGGTGCTCCAAAGCAGTGGAGCCTGCAGCTGCGAGCCGGCACTCTTAAACACAACTGACCCTCGTTTGTTCCAAATAATAATCATTAAAAAAAACTTGTTAAACAATAACTTAACCAAAAACATAATAATACTTAGGTCTGACAGGGGTCAGAAGCGACCGCAGTCTGGTCCGTCAGTCCAGCTGCTGAAAACACCCGCTCTGAGCAGACTGACGTTGCCGGGATGCATAGGTACCTCCGCGCATTATTCGCATTATTCGATAGTTTATTGACAAAGAGTGAATACTGCAGATGACGAAGTCTATGAAGTCAGGAGGAGGAAATAACTTTTCAGGTGCTTCAGTACTGGTGTCACTTTCCCCGAACCGGAGTCCACATCCTTTTTATTTACGGTCTGATTTGATACTGTGGTTTAAAAAATACTCAATTAAAGAAAAAACTTGTAACATACACACCTTAAAAATCATCATGACTTCTAGGCACTGTGTGACAAAGGCTTGTTGTTGGTTAAACATCACCGAGGGAGCACCAGTTATTACAGGGGACGTTTTCTGGTCGAGTCACCTCCAGTTCATAGAGCAATCTCTCAGGAAGCTGTTAATAAACTCACACAACCTGAGACGCGACCGCAGCCTGGTGACCGTCAGTCCAGGCACCGAAAACACTCACATAGGTACCTCCACGCATTATTCGAGCATTTTATCGATTAAAAAATAACATGATCGACGAAATTCTTAACGATCAATTATCGATTCGTCAATTAATCATGCCCATCCCTACTTTTTACCAAAACAAAACCCCTCATTTTCCAATCCCAAAAAACTCTTCTCCATCTTTTCCAACCTCCTACGGAGGCCGCCATGTTTTTTACATTAGTCCAGACTGAACAAACTAAACACCTTTGAGTTTTTCTGACAAATGAAGGCTACCACAGGTTCTTTTTCATGTTTGGAAGAGGAGGGTGGGGTGAGGGGTATTCAGCTGCAACATGCAATGTCAACACTCGATATCTCTAAATTCTACACACTGTAAATTTAAGGAGGCAAGAGTAAACATTCTCCTGAAGAAACTCAACCTCAACCCGTCTGAAGTAAACAACTACAGACCTGTCTCTCTTCTTCCTTTTCTTTCCAGAGCACTTGAGCATGATATCTTTAATCAACTCTCCTCCTATCTTCACCATGACAACCTTTACCGAGACTGCCTCCTCTCCTCTGTCCTCATCCTTCCAGACCTTTCTGCTGCATTTGATACAGTTAACCAACAGTTCCTTATTTACTCCCTTCAGGATCTGGGTGTCTCCGGCTCTGCTCTCTCCCTGCTCTCATTCTACCTCAATGACTGCACTCCCACCCATGACCTGACTATAACCATTGACAACTCCGTGGTAGCACCCACCCAGACTGCTAGGAACCTGGGTGGTACTCTGGACAATCAACTATCCCTTACTGCCAACATTACTGCGACAACCCACTAGTGTAGATACATGCTGCGAAACATCAGGAGAATACGTCCCCTTCTCAGTCAGAAGGTGGCACAGGTTCTGGTCTAGGATCTGGTCATCTCACGCCTCTACTGCTACTCCCTCCTTGCTGGTCTACCCGCTAGACCAGCAAGTGTACCATGCGTTGAACGGATCAGGTCCAGTCTACCTCCAGGACATGGTCAAACCTTACACCCCAGCCCGTCCACTCTGCTCTGCATTTACCAATCGGCTTGCTGCTCCCTCAGTGCGAGTAAACTACTCAACAAAATCAAGACTGTTTGCTGTCCTGGCTCCTAAATGGTGGAACGAGCTCCCCATTGATATCAGGACAGCAGAAAGAATGTGTACAGTCCACTATCACTTACTACCACAAAGTGAATAAATATATGTAAACCCAGTTACTGTGGGGATGTTATCAAAGCTTGATAAGGCAAGATATGCTTTGGAGTATGTGTACTCTGCTGTGGGTCAATGTTATGGGGACAAAACTAATTGCAACAATATGTTTAGACAGTGAAGCACCACAGTCAAGGTAATTAATGCTAAATTAATGCTGCCACTATCATCCTGGCTACTGTCCAAAACAAGAGTTAGCTATAAAAATCCCAATCTTTAGTATAAACCCTGATCTCAGTGTTATGATAGGCTACATAGATTATTAAGTAGTCCGGTTCTATTACTTACTGACCTAATTGAAATCATGGCATCTGAACTTGTTTTAAAACTCTTTTATGTCACGTAGCCTGTATTGTGAAGACCGTCTAACATCCATAAAGTTTGTATGGGCGGTGTCTATGTGATGGGGTGTGCATGGTAATGTGCTTAGTCTTCGATTTATTTGCCGCCTCAGTCAGTGAGGAGCTTTTTCTTTTGCCAAGTTTTTGCAATTACTCTGGTTGTTCCACTACCTGGAGGAAGCTACCAGTAGCTAAGAGGGTTATCCTCTGTCTGTTTTGGTTACACAGACACACACACAAATGGTATATGGTTTGTATTTAAATCCTTGTATCATTTGTTCTTTTCATATTAAATTAGAAAACTAAAATTGTAAAAATTGAAAAAAAGGTGATTATTTCTGATACCACAAAACAAATAACGGTTTGTTTTTGGTAGTTCGGATTTTTTGCTTTTTGCCTTTAATCACTGATATTTTATTTATTTTCTTATATTCTTGCCATATTTTTATTAACTTTTTAATACACATCCCCTGAAATTGCTTTAGTGTCCAATTTTCATATCATACAATTTGTTGTAGTGGTAGTAAAAGCACAAGTGTATTTAAAACCATTAATGGTGGCTTCACTACATGCAAGTGTCACAGTAAGCCAGGGCTAAACTGAGCGGAGTTATTTTTAACTTGATTAAATCTGTGCTTTTCCTAATAGGAAAGGATATGTCCGTTGTGCAATATATCTGCAGACAA